AACAAAGATGAACCCTTTTGCATGCATAGTACTGTGTTGCCAGTGATGGCAAACATTCATCTATGGGTGGATAAATGGGTGGTCAGGCTGAATGATCACGTATGTCTAGACGGGGGAGTGTGCCCAGAACCACGTATAGGGTTGGCAGATGATGTTTCTACAAGCGTATTTACATGTGCTGTAAGAATGTCCAGACGTATAGCAGAGCTGACGAGGGACAAAGTTGTGGTGGCTTCTTGGCCATAGCCAGCTACCCTGAGGGAGCAAGTGGTTGGACTTGTGGGCTTGGGACCATGGTCACAGGGGACATCAAGCTCAATTGGCATAACCTACTATACAGAAACAATGTTCTACTTCCTACTTTGGGGAGTAGCAACTGGGGTCTTAAGAGCTTGCAAGTGGCCATCTAGATGCAATGATGGGTCTTTCCTCATCTAGAGCAAAGAAGAATGAAGGAAACCAAAGACACATGGAAACAATTAGTGCAAGGGAATAGTAGCCCACATGATCCTCAGCCTATACTACTATGGAACCAGAACTAGATGGTGCCCGCCTACCACTGTCAACCGCTCAGTGGGGAACTGATGCAGCAGTCCTGGATAAAGTAGGAGAACAATGTGGAGCAAACTTAGAATCACACAAAAAAAGGCCAAGTTTGCTAGTCTGATAGAGCCTTGTAAGACCCCTGAAACCATAGCTCCTAGCTACCTTTCAGGTCTGGAACTGAACCTATTCTTGTGGCTTCCAAACAACAGACAGGCATATGGAGTGAACATTTGCATCAGGCAGATACACTCCTTGGAGTGGTCAACAGTGGGAAACAGAAGAGCAATTGCTTGCCCAGGGAGACATCTCAGGGGGTAAGAGTGGGAGGGAAGGACACAGGGAAGAGGTAACCTATGGGGTAGAAGTGGGAAGAGAGCTGTTACATTGTGTGGAATTGCAGTCAATGTCATGAAACCAAAGTGTATGAACTGATGTATGGAAAATCAATTTGCTATGTAAACTTTCACCCAAATCATAAAAATTAAAAAACAAAACAAAATCAAACATATACTAGAAGCAAAACTGGCCCTAGCAGAAATACTTGTAGAAGCAGTGGACCCCATGCTCCAACCCTAACCCGAGCAAAGGCAAATCAAAGTCATCATATGTAAAATAACGCACACACCAAGGGAAGAGTGTAGATTGTTTTACTACAGGCAGAGGAGGAACATGCTTGTGTGGGGTAGGGAATGGAGGAGTGGCAGATACAAGAAAAGAAAAAATCCATTTTTGAGCAAAGGCCAAACTGCTTAGATCGGAGGGAGTGCAGAATCATGTGATGCGTGGACATTTTAGCAACTGACCCTGAGAACAATCAGAATCAAGCTGTTCTTGGGCAGATAATTTGAAGAACATTTAGAGTGCAGAAGAAAAGGCAAATGCCTACTGGACAGAAAGGCCTTTTCCCCCAGACCGAGGGGGCTATCATCGGCTCAGACATTGGTTGATACAGAGCTGACCCAACTGCCTCTGCTCCTAAATTCAGAGGTTTATTGACCTCATGTGTCTTAAACAAAGTGCTGTAAACTCTTCCCTGTTTAAGTTTTAAGATGCTAATACTGTTATCTAGGAATTGAAGCTCCTTCCCTACCACTAATTTCAAAGGCTTAAGTCAACGTGACACAGACAGAAAAACATATTCAGCTTTATTGCATTAAAAAAAAAAAAAATCATTTAAGCCACACGGTGGCCATCATGCTCATGTCCTGAGCAGGCTTTGTCACCCACTGTCCCAGCACACACATATACACACTGTGTTGAAGAAAGGACTTAGAAATGTAAAATATGAGAACGCTTCATCCTCCCCCTCCTCACAGCCAACCAATACACCCCTTCAGCTGCTAGCTAAACCCAGAGGAGGTCTCATGGAAGAGGCTGAACACTGCGTCAATGGACCACAAGACACCCAAGTCCAAAGGCAGCTGCTGGAAGACGTTTAGGGAGTAGCGGCAAAGCATCACCATCTCCCAACTGGTGCGGCTACAGCAGAAGCTGCCACATGCCAGAAGGTGGAACCAAACTGCCCAGGACAGCAAAACATACAGCAGACTCTGGGGAGAAGACTGTGACCACTGGACACCACAGCCACAGGCAACCATGCACACCTGTGGATCAAACAGGCTCTTTTTCCAGGGCAGGGAGCATCCAGACAGAGAGGCCATTCAAGGGGCCTGTCACAGTCAGTTCTCTGATAACACGCTGCTCTGAGCTTGACTGTCTAGGAGCTGGGACATCTGGAGGGACGCATTTAGAACAGTGTTCCAAGATTACGGTGGGTAGAGACAGGGTTTATCGCAACCCTCTGGGCTGAGATGGATGGTCCTTGGGAGGCTCTGGGCTGGCTAGTTGACCTCGGGAGGCCCAGAAGTTCCCAGGGGATGGGCCCTCCAGTAAGCCCTCCAGTGACTCCATCAGTCCAAGGAAGATGGAAAGCAAGGTCAGCACCACCCCCAAGAAGTAGAGATGCAACACATTCTTCATGGTTGGAAAGATTCCACTCTCCTGCAGCGCCACTTTCTGCTTCTGGGTCCTAAGGAAAGAGAGGAGAGGTAAACCCACAGCCTTCTGGGATATGCAAGCATCTGGCCCTGATAGTTCTCTCCTTGTGGAGCTGAGGTTAAGGCTTGGTCAGCCACGGAGACAAGCACCAGCAGATGTTCCTCCACCACAGAATCTGAGTGTATTTACCCTGGACACTCTGTGGCTGTGGGGCCAGGCTTGCTACTCGGCTGCATTGAAGAGCACGTCTTCAAAGTTTTAATTCTTCCGAAGGCTTTGCTCTAGCCAGGAACAATGCACCATTCCTGGGGCACAGTTCAGGGAAGCGAAGACACCAAGTCCTTTTGTTGGTGGGGAAGGGGATCTAAGAACATGCTCTCAAGAAAGCAAGCTGCCTAGCAGTCTCCCAATCTCAGATCTGAGTTAACCAGAAACTTTTTTTGTTTTGGTGGTAATTATACAGGTAATAGAGGAGCTCTGGCGGTGTAGTGCTTAAGGCATTATTAGGCTGCGAACCATAAGAGTGGGTTCAAACCCACTCTGCCGCTCCACGGAAGATGAGGCAATCTGCTTTTGTGAAGATTAACAGCTTTGGAAACCCAACAGGGGTTCCTGTTAAGTTGGAATCGACTTGAAGGCAGTGACACATATATACATACGTACATATGTATTTAATAAAGTATTTGCCAGTTCTGTGGTCTTCACATGTGCCATTAATTACTTCACACTGTCTAACATTCACCATGAACTGTTCCTCAAAATTTCCATCAACCCTTAGCAGAAACTCAGGGTCCCCTATACATTACGTCTTTCTTTAACCACAAACGTTTTGAAACTCAAAATAATCCTGATAGGATCAAATACACTCATTCCACCAATATACCCGGAATACCTACAATGTTTGGCACCTGGAAGGTTCTGGGATTCAGTAAACCCCGTAGACATGAACCTTACTCCTATGAAGCTTAAATTCTAGGGCCGAGAAGAGGCAAGACAATAGGCAGTAACCATACCACAAAGCACCCTAAGTACAGTGAGAGGAAGGAGATGTTAAGCGTGCTTCGGAAAGGCAGGGCTGGGACGCCCACAACAAGCGAGGACCGGGTGGGCTACATGGATCTACACGCTCAGGTAGAAAACGGGTCTGGGCAGCTGATTGGGGACCCAGAGAGGGGCGGGAGCGAGAAGCTAGCCACAGCTTTGCAAAGAGCTCGACCTACCCGCTGCGCAGCCCGGAGGAGTGGGGGCGGGGAGCCGGGGACAAGGACCTCACGCCGGGAACTCCACAAGGCCTCTCACCTTGAGGGTACAGAGTCCGAAGTGGCCCGCTTGCTGTAACAGCAGGTGGTGCAGGCGCTGGGAGGAAATTCGGTCAACGTGCAGCGTAGTCTCTCCACAGATGAAGCCCAACGAAGACAACCGTGCAGCCCGCACCCAAGCGCTGTGCCACACTGCCCAGCATCACCCACTTATATGCGGCTCCGCCTCCAAGACGCGCACACGCGCACTGCGGTCCGCAACACGCTCCCGTACGCACGTACGCGGCCCCGCCCAGAGGCGGGGCCTGGGAATAACCGTCCACCGCTTGCTGGGGCGTCTGTTTCGAATCACGCAGGCAGCACGGTTCTGAGTCACTGAGGTCTGGAGAGGCGTTAGGCGTGTGTATCAACACCCACCGCCTCTTCCTGCTTCGAAAGAATCCAAAAGCACGTTCACCCCAGACGAAGTCGGTGGAAAGCACACCTGACGTGACCCCGGCCAAGGACCCTGAAGATGGATGAAGCCCAAGCAGCGGAGTTGGTTTCTTCACCAGAGATTTCAACAAAGGACCAGTTGCCATTCCCCCACCCCCACCCCCATGCTTTCCCTATTTCGGGACTTGAAGAAACCAGAGCGACCTTTGTTTCACTTCTTGGAGGAACCAAGATTCCAGACACCACCTCCACGCCCCATTCCAAGCCCCGCGGTTTAACAGCCCTCAACATGTTTGGAATGGTGAGGCCCTTTTGCAGCTTGTTAAATTATGCCTCTGTGCGAGTTTGCCATGCAGTTTGAAGGCGAAATGGTCATCTGGCCCCGGAGTCTGCTCCCAGCAGCGTATGGCCAAGTACTTGCACTCATTGGGCCTCAGGTTCCCCATCAAAAATGAGAGCATTGGCCAGGACGTGATTTTTAAGGATGCTTTGAGCTTGAGCTAAGAGCTAGGAGGTCAGGGTCCGACCTTATGCCCAGATTTGGAGCCTGGGAAGCCTTACTGAGCGAACTCCACCTCCCACCCCCAGCTAATGAAATGTGGACGGTCCGTTGTGAGACTACACAATGGGGGTATCTCAGAAAATGGAGTCCTGGGGAGACACTGAAGATGGGGAGGTCTGTGAAGGAACATGCAAGCCGCGAAGGGAAGGCTGTTGTGGGCTTTGGCTGCCGGGTTCCCCTTGGGGGGAGAAGAGGGTTGGGCCAAAGCTCAGGGGCAGGAGGACTCCAGGCGGGTCCCTGAGCTCTGGGACCAGCGGTTCCGTACTTGGTCAGAGGCGCCGGCTGGATGGGAGAGGACCAGGGACCTCCACAGCTCTGCGGCTTTGGCTTCGGCTTCTGCAAACCCCGGACTGAACATTCCGAAAGGGAGGAGCCAAATTGGCTAGGCCATGACCTTTCCCCTACTTTCCTGGCTCCCAGAGGGCTGGTAGGGGATGACGGAACAGGGACGGTTGAGCAGACTGGCAGGCGTTCTGAAACGAGCTTTCTTCTTCAGCCTGCAGGAATTTTTGGCCTTTCATTATACAGTTTCTCCTGTATTTTTGTGCTTGACTCTTTCTCTTGCACGGCCATCAGGAGCAGCTTAGGCACTGAAGTCCCACTGCCAGGCAGTGGCTTCACTAGGGGGACTGCGTGGGGTGACACTGTCAGAGAAGGGGACACCGAATGACTGCAGTGTTTCAGCAGAAATTTATTATCTTTTATAAAAACATCACTAGTTAGTTACAACAACAAAAGCATTTTTCTTAAGCCCAGCTTACATGTATGAATACACTTGTCACCGTTATGGTTAGGCGTCAGTCAGAGTTAGTGCCAACACATAGCAACCCTACGTACAACTGAACAAAAACTGCCTGGTCCTGTACCAGTCACGCAATTGTTGCTACACCCCTGTTGCAGCCACTGTGTCAGTCCATCTCGTAAAAGGTTTTCCTCTTTCTCATTGACCTCTACTTTACCAAGCATGGTGACCTTCATGGACTGGTACCTCCTGATAACACGTCCAAAGCATGTGAGACATCTCCCCATCCTCACTTCTAAGGAGCATTCTGGCTGTACTACTTCCAAGACAGACTTGTTCATTCTTCAGGCAGTCTGTGGTATATTCACTATTCTTTGCCAGCACCATAATTCAAATGCATCAACTCTTCTTCAGTCTTCCTTATTCATTGTCCAGCTTTCACATGTACGAGGTGATTGAAAATACCATGGCTTGAACCAGGCACACTTTAATCCTCAAAGTGACATCTTTGCTCTGTAATACTTTAAAGAGGTCTTTTGTAACAGACTTGCCCAATGCAATACGTTATTTGATTTCTTGACTGCTACTTCCATAGGTGTTGATTGTGGATTCAAGTAAAATGAAATTCTGGGCAACTTTAATCTTTTCTGTATTTATCATGATACTACTTATTGGTCCCACTTGTGAAGATGTTTATTTTCTTTATGTTGAGGTGTAATCCATACTGAATGCTGTAGACTTTGATCTTCATCAGTAAGTGTTTCAGGTCCTCTCGTTTTCAACAATCAAGGTTGTGTCATCTGCACATGGCAAGTTGTTAATTAATCTCCCTCCAATCCTGATGCTGCAATTTTCTTCATATTATACAGCTTCTAAGATTATTTGCTTATTATACAGATTGAATAAGTATGGTGAAAGGATACATCTCTAACACATACATACCTTTCCTGATTTGAAACCATACAGTATCCCTTGTTCTGTTTGAATGACAGCCTCTTGGTCTATGTACAGGTTCTACATGAGCACAATTAAGTGTCCCATTCTTCAAAATGTTATCCATACTAAGTGCGCATAAATGGAGGAATGGATAACCAAATTGTGGCACATATATATAATAGAATACTATGCAACACTAAAGAATAATGTAGAATTTGTGAAATACCTCATAATGTGCATGAACTTGGAGATATGCTGAGTGAAGTAAGTCAATCACAGAAGGCAAATAATTTTATTAGTCCACTATTTTAAAAAGTCAAGGAAAGGTTTACATATGCAAGGAAACTTTCTTTGTTACTAGGGATGTGTTCTGGTTACCTAGTGCCGCTCGACAAGAAATATACCACAAATGGGATGGCCTTAACAAACGAGTTTATTCTTATAATTTGGAGGCTTTAAGTCCAAATTCAAAGTGCCAGGCTCTAGGGGCTAGGTGAAAGCCCCTCAACTTTGGGGTCCAGCTCTGCCTCCTGCTTCTGGCCCACTGGAGCTAGAGCATTTCTTCACTCAGACAGCTGCTGGCTGCTGAGGCTGAGAAGCCCCAAGGTTGACAAATAAAAAGGCATAGTCCCAATGTTACCAATCCACACAGTAGGCCATTAACTTAAGTCCACTGTATGTCCCAAAGTCGGCAGAGCATGGCAGGCTGCTGAGCAACAACACAGTTACATACAGGGTCCAAGCTTGCCAAAGGCTAGAGACCATTCTCAAAGCTTCTGCTTATATACAGGAAGCAGACCACATACCCAAAGGCAGCTACTCAGCTGCTCCCAGTAGATTCCACCATAGAGTTGATTACCAGTCTCATCATGGGGAATACTACATCCAGCTGCCCAGCCACTCGACCAGGCCTAGCCAAGTTGACATACAAACATAACTATCACAGGATGAGAGGGCAAGGGAGGGAAAATTGCTAGATAGATAAGAGACAAGTATTTGGGCGGAGGGAAAGGCAGTATACCAAAACCAAGTGACCAACACAGTAACA